CGGGGGCACCGCGAGGTGGGCGCCTTGGCCTCCCGCCCAGCACGTGCGAACCTAGTTCTTTCCCTTCCCCTTTCCCCAAGACATGGCAGTCAGGGACAATTCGTGTGTCACGAAGTAAGTTTAATGGGTTGCAACCGACGTTAAAAAAGTAAGAATGCAAAATAGTGTGTCTCACGTGAAGACCGTGCGTGTATGTGTGTAGGAAATACTCATTCACCAAACTCAGACGCTTTCGAGAGTGACAGAGGGTGCCGTGTGGCTACTCTAGGACCAGAAGGGTAATCTGGGGCGTCTCTGGCCAACTGGGACATACGGTCAGTCACCTGTGTGCACTCCTACATAACACCCACTACACTCGTTTCCACGGTCCCCCAGCCAAGTCACTGGCTGCCATTCTCTCTAATTTGTTTTCCACACAACTTCATGAGCTGTCCCTGAAATGCGCATCCTTATCACGATGCACCCTTGCCCAAAACTCTCCAAGAGTCACATCCACTGTCATCTGAGGCCCATTAAAGTCCAATATTGTCCTGCCTGGCTTACTGTCATCAGTTTCCACTCCCATTACATCCCTTTATTCCTGGCCACCCTCTTTATTTCCCTTGAAACAGCCATCACATGTCTTGCAAAACCAGTTCAAGCATCACCCCCCGAACTGCTCTAATTGAGCATTTTTTCCTTGCTGTTACTTTGCAACACAAACTCCCGTTAGTCCATGAGTCATCCATCCCCACGTTTACATGGCATGGCTCTCTTCTTGTAGCATAAACAATCCTAAATCTTAAATTTTTATAAATGTTTACATATTTCTGTAAGACTATAAACGTCAGTTACAATGATAGTTACCTCTGGATGCTGAGTTTACCAACGATGTTAATTTCCCCCCAAAAAAAGGAATAATTCTCTCAGATAATTTGCTTGTATAATCCAGAAAAAAGGAACAGAAACAAAATTATGTTGAATAGCAAATGAAAATTTCATTTCCATTTCCTGTTGGTAGAAGTGTAGCCTTATAAACTTGTTACATACATTTTTATACAAAGTTTGTAATTTTGAAGTAATTTTAGTTGTACAGAAGTGTTGCAAATACAAAAAGATTTAAAATTGATAAATTGATTTCATAAAAATTTAAAACTTTTTTTTACAGTAGAAAAGTTTTATTAGAAAGTACACTTCCAGATGTGGAAATGGGCCTGAGCAAGAGAAGCGTGGCTCAAAAGGCCTAAAACTTCTGTGCTTTAAATAGCACCACCAAGGAAGCAAAATGACAACCCCAAAGGATGGGAGAAAATATCTGCAAATTATGTATTTGATAAGGGTTCAGAATCCAAAATATATAAAGGAACTCTTAGAACTATAAAAAAGACAAATGATTAAAAACTAGGTCACAGATTGGACAGATTAGAAATGGCCATTAGGCACATAAAACAAAAAAGCTGCTGTCGAGTGTTCTGAATTTGTGAGGCATAATTGATTTGTAGTATTGTTCAAATTTGCTATTTCTTTTCGATCTTCTGTTTCTTCTATCTACTATTAAAAGTGGCTATTAAAATATCCAGCTATTATAGTAGAACTGAGTCTCCTTTCAATTCTGTGAAGGTTTGCTTCATGTATTTTGGGGCTCTTTTTTGGTGCATATACATTTGTAATTTTTATGTCTTGTTAAATTGATCTCTACCCAAACAGATGTTTTTCTTTATCTTTTGTAACAGTTTTTGACCTAAAGTCTATTTTATCTGCTATTTATATAGCCTATCCAGCTTTCTTCTGGTTACTCTTTGCATGGAATATTTTTTTCCCATTCTTTTGTTTTCAGTTTTTTTTTGTCTTCAGATCTAAAGTGTGTCTCTTGTAGACTGTATGTATTTGGATCATTTAAAAAATTCATTCTGCCAATCTCTGCCTTTTGATTGAACAGTTTAATCCACTTTAAAGTAATTACTGATAAGAACTTACTGTCATTTTGTTATTTTCAAAACTGCCCTTCGGCTGCAACTGGAACTGTCTCCCTGTTCCCCCCGCCCCCCAACAGAACCAACGAACCGAGACGTAAACAGAACTTGAACACTGGAACCTTTTCAGAAGTGGAGGGTCCGTTGTCTAGGAAGATCCTCTGTTGACACCCCTTACCATAAATGGCCAAGTTCCAAGGTCCCTGAATTAATACTTTTCTCGCCATTGCTTCTGCACACTTGTTACCCCATACCCTTAACAACCCGCCCAGAATCCTGGATCAGGGAGTTTGCGCTTTTGAGCATTAGCTTCATGTTCTCCTGGGTGGTGGTGCCATTCATAATAAAATAGCCAGTCTTTCTCCACTGCAAAAAAAAAAAAAATGTCTTACAGCTTTTTTGTCTCTTTTCTATTACTGCCTTCTTTTCTGTTCAGTTGGTTTTTTGGTAATGCCATGTTTTGATTCCCTTCTACATATACTTTTCTGTATATTCTGTAGACATTTTCTTTGTGGGATTACATGGCAAAGTTTTAACAATCCTAAAGTTATAACTATCTAATTTGAATATACCAACTTAGCTTCAATTGCATACAAAAACTCTGCTCCAATAGTTGTTTCCCTTTCATGTTATTAATATTGCAAGTTACATTTTTTACATTGTATACCCAATAACATAGGTTTATAATTTTTTTATGCAGTTGCCTTTAAGTCCTATTGAAAATGAAAAGTACAGTTGCTACCAAAATTAAAATACTGGTTTTGATATTTCCTGTGTTTTTATCTTTATCAGACATCCTCATACTACTGTGAGATTCTGTCTGGAACCCTTTCATTTCAATCTTAAGGACTCCCTTTACCATTTCTTGTGGGTCAGACAGTATACTGATTAGGTCTTCCATGCTCCCTCTAGTTCAAGGCGAGGGAGATGTGGGAACTGGGAAACAGGATGCTACAGCTTGGGACCAAGACCATTAACTACCACACTGGGGAAGGGGTAGGGCAGTAGCAAGTAAAAAATGCCACTGAACTTTCCTGCCATTTTAAAGATGGCTTTTTCTTGCTTGAGTGTTTGCTTGGTTGCTATAAACCTTTGACTGTTTTTCAAAGCCCCTATTAAATTAGTTCAGATAGTTTCTGGTTGTTTTCTTCATATTTCTATGGAGAAATGAGAGCTTGGAACGCCTGGCCTGTCATTTTGCCGAATATTGGCTTTTAACCTATCAAATTGGTAATGATAAAAAAGTGAAATTTATAAAGAGAGTTTTAGGAAACATACTATTATCAGTGTTGGTGACTGCTGGGAGAGCAATCTGTGTGTGTGTGTATACATGTATGTATGTAAATGTATGTCTATACGCATATGTATATATGTGTAATGGTATGTATGTGTGTGTATATGTACAGAGGTTATATATATATATGTATCTGAAAAGACTGAAAAAATACTAACATCTGATGTTGAAATTCAACACCTAGAACTTGGCTTAAGAAAATAATCATGATATTTATGGGAAGTTTTGGCTACAAAGATATCGATTGTCGACACTCTTTATAATAATGAAATACTAGCAGCAATGTTTATGTTCAACAGGGGGGGTTGGTGAAAACATATGATGGGCCACCGTGCAGGGAAATACCACATACCCACTAAAACTCACGTTGAGAAAGAATATTTAATTTCATTGAACTTATTATTTTAAAATATATCTTAAAACCAACAAAGTTAATTTTAAAAAAGTCATCTGACCTCCCTCCCTCCAGTGGTAACCATTACTGCCTTGAATCAGGCCATTTAGTGGCTGCCCACCCCCCAAGCTCTCCTAACTGGTCCTCTTGGATTTATACCTACTTTGGGTCTCACAAGCCACTTTGGCTTTACCTATTATTATCTCAGTTACAAAGCATAAATTGTCTGCTGAACTCAAGGCCGCAACTGTGAGTTTCCATTTTACTGAAAGGGCCAAGGATGCTCCAAA